TTACACATATTATACATAATATATATAGATGCACCACAACCCTCTTGCTCATATATCCGCAACATTCCAGCAGTTCCCATCCCTCCATTCTTCAATCATAACTTTGCATAATCGTACCAGCGAGCTGCTATTGCCATGATTCTCTTGGCTTTTCTGGTTTTTTCTCTAGTGTTTTCTTTTCTTTATTTCTTCTTCATATTTATCACAAAGGTCTACTCTTTTTTGTCTCTCCCACCTTCTACAAATGGCCCTCCTTCCTATCCATTCATCGGATGCTTACTGTCTTTCTCCCAAAACTGTCACCGTCTTCTCGATTGGTACACCGAGCTATTATCCCAATCACCCACCAACACCATTGTGGTGAACCGGCTCGGTGCACGGCGCACCATTGTCACTGCCAACCCGGAGAATGTCGAGTACATACTCAAGACCAACTTCTGCAACTTCCCTAAAGGCAAGCCCTTCACTGAACTACTCGGCGACCTCCTGGGTCGGGGCATATTCAACGTTGACGGCGAGTTATGGAGCACGCAACGAAAGTTGGCGAGTCACGAGTTCAGTACCAGGTCGCTAAGGGAGTTCGTGGTTAAAACGCTTCAAGAAGAAGTGGAGGAGAGACTGATCCCTGTTCTTGATGAGGCAATGGAGAGGCAGACGGTTGTTGATTTGCAAGAGATATTAAGGAGATTTGCTTTTGATGTTGTGTGTAAAGTTTCTCTGGGTACTGACCCTTGTTGTTTGGATCTGTCGAGGCCATTGCCGGCTCTCGTTATAGCTTTTGACAGCGCGTCGGAGATAAGTGCCATGCGAGCAATGGAACCCATGTATGCTGTGTGGAAGATTAAGCGAACGCTGGGTTTAGGTACAGAAAAGAAACTGAAGGAAGCCATCAAGGTGGTCCATGGATCAGTTTTGGAGATCGTGCAAAACAAGAAGAAAATCCTCGGAAGTGACCAGGAGAACCAAAACGACGCCGTCGCAAACCACAGCGAGGATCTGTTATCGAGGCTGCTGTCAGCTGGGCACGACGAGGAGATTGTAAGGGACATGGTGATCAGCTTCATCATGGCGGGAAGAGACACCACATCTGCCGGAATGACGTGGCTGTTCTGGTTACTGTCTAAGAACCACAAGGCAGAGGAGATGATCGTGCATGAAGTCAACTCAGTGATCCAGAAAAAGGGCGGGGATGACAAAACCAAAACGACGTCGTTAGATTTCGAGGCATTGAAGGAGTTGCATTTCACTAAAGCTTGCCTCTGCGAGTCAATGAGGCTGTACCCTCCAGTTGCGTGGGACTCAAAGCACGCAGCAGACGACGACGTTTTGCCGGACGGGACTCGATTGGATAAGGGCGACAGAGTAACATACTTCCCGTATGGGATGGGGAGGATGGAGACGATCTGGGGGAAGAACCGGTTAGAGTTCAGACCGGACCGGTGGTTGGAAGAGGGCGATCAGGGTGTTAATCCGTATAAATTTCCAGTATTTCAGGCCGGCCCAAGGGTTTGCCTGGGGAAGGAAATGGCTTTTATCCAGATGAAGTACGTGGTGACGTCAGTGCTCAGACAGTTCGAGATCAAACCGTTTCGGAAGGACCGACCGGTTTTTGTTCCATTGTTGACGGCTCACATGTCTGGTGGGTTCAAGGTGCTGATCAAGAAAAGAAATCAGTAATTAATTGACCTGATTGCATGCATATATATACATATACTTACATCTAAAAATACCCATGTGGAATATACCTATATAAATTTAAATTTAAATTACTTATTATAAGATGATTATGTGTAGAACCCGTGTCTTATTCCGTCCATATATTGACAAGATATCACAACTGTACTTGTATAAGTCATGGTCAAAGGGAATGAAGAAGATTGCACTTTCTTTACTATGATATAATAATAATATTTCTTTGATAGTTGCGAAGACTCCAATATATTTTATTACATATATAATTTTCTTCCATATATATATATTGTAACGACTGGATCTGAAATTTGATCTCGAATCAATTTTGATATTTTAAAATATATATAAAAAAATTATTTTTAAATTAATTTATTTTTATTTTTATTAAATTTATGAAAAAAATACGTTACGTATGAAATCGAAAATAATTTAAAAAAAAAATGAGTGAAAATTTAAATTCATGAGATATTTTAAAAAATAAAAATTAAAAATTGAAGGTTAAAGTACAAATAAAAAAATTTGTGTTGTGTAAGACTGACCAGTAAACAACTCCGACGAACCAGAATACGCCGCGTGGTAAAGCATGATGACGTCGGTGCTATGTAGGATGCCACGCGAGCGATCCGCATGCCCCACAATCGAATGACCCAGGATCGATCCCACACGCGTGAACGGTCCGGATTTGTTTCCTTTTAAATACGATCGGACGGTCGAGATCAAATCGCAATGAATGGTCCATATTCATTTCTTCCTTAAACGCGATCGAACGGTCAAGATCAAATCGCGATGGACAACCTAAATTTATTTCCTCTTTAAGCGCGATTGGACGGTTCAGATCAAAACGGGATAA